GGGAGGGAGGGAGTGGGGGGGGAGAGAGAGAGACTATGTCGGGCTCCTCTCCCACAGTAGGGAAGGAGTTGTTTACCGACGGTGTTAACAACTGCGGCGATTGGTGGGGGCGAGAGGAGGCCTCTCTCGCGCCCTTCTTCCTTCTTCTGCCGCTCCTCCTGCGCTGCCTGCTCCGCTTCACACGCTCTCGTTGGTTGCGACTGTTTGTGTTGGTGCGAGAAAGACGTTGAGAGGAGGGGGGAGGGGAAACAAGCCCAACAGCTGAGAGGATGTAAACACTAAGGTCACATGACGGCATCCCAGTCAAGAAGAGAGGCTCCGCCTCCCCGCTTTCGGAATGGGTGCCGGGACGTTGAAACTGTGCCGATCCAGAAGCCCCGCCCCCGCAACTCTACGTCCAATGAACGCGAGACTGCCCCGTGTCAACAGGGGCTGCCTTCAAACCAGCTGGCCAATAGCAGTTCCTGGTTCGTCAGCAATTTGTTTTCCTTTTTTTGGGGAGGGTTGTTCTGTAAAGCTATGCTTCCTTTGCTCTAAGAGAGATCGAGAACAACAGGCAGTGGAACAACAGGCAGAGGGGAGTTTTTGGCTCAGAAGAAAGAGGGGTCGAATGCACCAGTGCGGATAATACGTTTTTAATACTAATTGTGTATCATCAAATCAATTCAGTCTTATGCAAGAATAGGTGATACCTTTATAGGCCACTAATTAAAAATTAGTGTTGGGAAAGTGTGAAGGCAGGAGGGGAAGGGGACGACAGAGGATGAGATGGCTGGACAGGGTCACCGAAGCTACCAACATGAATTTAACCCAACTCTGGGAGGCAGTGGAGGACAGGAGGGCCTGGCATGGTCTGGTCCATGGGGTCACGAACAGTCGGACATGACTAAACAACAACAACAAAATTAAAAACTGAAAAGCATACACTATGCGAGGTGAGCTTTTCTGGGTAAATCCTACTTTTCAAAGCAAGTACCAAGAAGTCCAAATATTTGTGGCAAGATGGGATTTACCAGGCAGTTATTCTTAGACATACGATGACCTTTTCAGAGTTTTCTGGGTAGAGTACAACCGCAGTGGTCCCCAACCTTGGGCCTCCAGATGTTCTTGGACTTCAACTCCCAGAAATCCTGGCCAGCAGAGGTGGTGGCAAAGGCTTCTGGGGGTTGTAGTCCAAGAACATATGGGGGCCCAAGGTTGGGGACCAGTGGAGTACAGTACTCAGAAGTGGTTTACCATTCCTTTTTTCTAGGGGTGCCCTAGGAGTGTGCAGCTTACCCAAAACCACACAAGCTGGCTCTTCTGGGAATTACATTTTAGAGAGGGGGTATTTTAACTTTGACCCCAAAGAAAGGGATGATATTTCCCTATATTCATGAATATGGTTAAATTCTAAAACGAGAAAGAGTTGCTGGTTTTTTACGCACTATGATTTTGTGTTTCTTTAATCCATGTTTTAACAGCAAGATGCCCTAAATGTTATCATAATTGGTGGTCTTGATTATTACTTTCTTTCACTCCATTTTTTTTTCTAACCTTGATTCCATGTCTTTTACAGCCTGATATGCAAAAGACACACAGTTGAAGTTTACCCTAGCTATTCACCTCCATGATAGGAAAGAAACCATCCGTTTTATTTAGACTATATTCTTAGGGAAAAGAACAGGGAAAGTTAAGAATCCGAACCTTCACTTTTGTTTAGTACTTCAGTCCAGCGGTCCCCAACCGTTTTGGGATTGTGGACCATTTGCTGGGTGCGGGCTCCGTGTGCAGACCGCTTGGGGGGGGCGTGTCATGCTCATGTCTAAGATACAAAGGTGCTTCTGAGGAGAGATACCTGCTCAATAAAATGCTATGTACAACAACTCTGAGTCAAGTTTTTGTTTGTTTGTTTGTTTTAGACAACATAGCTCAGGGAGGGACACAAACTATATTTTAATTGATAAGGGTGGGAAGGAATGCATTATATGCCAGTCATGAGCTGTGTGAATGGGATGACTCTTGAGGCTGATTGGGCTGGGAAGACACTGACATGGATACAGGCTGGTGCCCTAATCATCAGTCAGGAGGTAGGGGGTGGGCAAGATATCACTGGGATTGATACAAGCTGGCCCCACCAATCATGAGCCAAGAGGCGAGGGTGGGATGGATTCAAATTGCCCCCCCCCAAACTCATGAAACAGGACGTAAGGGGCAGGTGGATTAACAGTGGTAGGGATTCAAGCTGGCCCTCCAATCATAAGCCACAAATTTAGTATTGTAGAAGGGACCCAAGCTAGTTATCCATTAAGATAGTTAATGGATGCTCATTTGAAGATATTACAGTACTTATCATTTATGAGCTTATAAGAAAAATAAAAACAAAACAGCCCAACAGCGGCCCATGCAGAAGTATTTATGATCCACAGGACAAGACTTTTATTTCACTCTTGCAAGCAGCCTGGTTGGGCTTAACAGTGTGAGAGACATTCAAATAACTATTGACATACCGCTGAGGACATAATGAGAGAATGTGTCACATGACCTCTGAGGTCACATGATTGCTGGAGCAACAGTGCTGTAAGCTCTTGACAGTTGGTCTTTGCCCACTTGCTGCTCTTCCACCTCAACAGCCATTGGGAGCAGAGTGAGTTAGAGAGACCTTGGCTTTTCAAAATTACTTATGCTTTCATCCAGGCTTAACTGTGGACTTTCTCAGCCATTCAGGTTCATAGTTTGTTTTGTCTATAGCTCTGGAAACTACATTAAGGCGTTGCCTGGGTAGAGTCGGTTTAAGGTGGTGAGATCTGGCAGGGCAGTTGATGTGGTACTTTTGAGAGGTTGCTGTTGTTTTTTAATGGAGATAAATGGGTTTGTTAGGGGGCATCAGAGCTCTGTCCTCCTGCTGCTGTCTTGTCGCGGTGTCAAACCGGTCTCCCCCTGGGCACCCCCTTTCTGATGGAGCCGTGGGTGCAGTTGTTGGAAATGAAATAGAAATGTTTCATTTCTGAAACATTTGCCCACTCTGCATGATTAATCTATATATTTCATCCATACCATTCATTAGATTGAATTTGGTTAAGCTCCTTCCTTAATAACCATTAAAAGTTTTTGTTTATGTTGTTCAGAAATGAACAACAGACCTCTTTACATATTGTTTCAGACTCTGAAGAGTTCCAAAGATTATTGTGTCTGAAATATTTACCCATTTAATGTGTTCATATGCCAGGGTCTATTGACTTGTCGAGCTTAATAGTTCTCTTTCTGGGTTGATTTATGTTGTGTTTATTTCCATAGTCATAGTAATTACTTGCTCAAAATTTAAAGAGATAGTGGTTTATAAATTTTAATATGTATCACATAACTATCTTCTAGGTAAAACAACATATCTTACGGTTAGGTACTGACCAGGTAAGGGATCAAAACTCAATTTAGATTTATTTATTTTTTACTACCTTTCCTTCTCATACAGGCCAAGACACCAACCAGGTAGGAGATCAAACCTACTTTTGGTTTATTTTTTCCCTTTTTACCACCTCCCCTCCTTATGCAGGTGAAGACATTGACCAGGTAAGGAATCAAAACCAATTTCTGTTCATTTTTTTCTGTTTTAACTGCCTTCCCTCCTTATTCAGGTAAAGACACTGAGAAGGTAAGAGATGAAAACTAATTTTGGTTTATTTTTTGCATTTTTACCACATTCCTTCCTTATACGGGTAATGACACTGACCAGCTAAAAGATCAAAACTAATTTTGGTTTACTTCTTCCTTTTTAACTGCATTTGCTCCTTATACAGGCCAGTGTCTTGGCCTGTATAGTTTGGCGCTTTCCCTGCCTCCTGCTTCCAGTCCGTAGGCTGCCGATCGTCCCTCCGGATGCCTTCCAGGGCTTCTCCGCTTCCATGGGAGGCATCTCAGAGGTCTCCCCCACTGCCGATCGTGCTTCGGAGGCATGATTGGTGTCAGGGGGGACCTCCAAGATGCCTCCCATGGTGGTGGGGAAGCATCAGGAGGTCTACTTCACCGCTGATCGTGCCTCTGGAGCTTCTCCGGAGGCACGATCTGTGGTGAGGGGGACCTCCAGAAGCCTTCCAGGGCTTCTCTGCCGCCATGGGAGGCCTCTTGGAGGTCCCCCCCTGCTGACGCAGGGTGGACCAGGCCTACCAGGGGAGGGCTTCCCGCAGTAGGCCCAGTCTACTGCCTGGAAAAGCCTGGTAGACCAGGCCTACCAGGGGAAGCCCTCCCCTGGTATGCCCTGGGAGGCCCGGTCTACCCGGCTTTCCCGGGCAGTAGACCGGGCCTACCGCGGGAAGCCCTCCCCTGGTAGGCCCGGTCCACCCTGGGAAAGCCTGCGTCAGCAGGGGCGGGGGACCTCAGAGAGGCCTCCGGCAGTGGTGGGGAAGCCCCTCGGAGGCCTCGGGCAGTGGTGATGGAGGCAGCAAGGGACCTCTGAGAGGCCGGCAGCGGCAGGGGAGCCTTTTGCAGGCATCAGGCAGTGGCAGTGGCGGCGGCAGGGGATCCCTGGAAGGCTTTGGACCAGTAAGGTGTTTATTTTAAAAAAAATTGTGGGGGAGGGGTATTTTTTTTCTTAGGCCATACGGGGTTTTCAGTGTATTCCTATGGGAAATGGACCCTCGACCTACGGACTTTTCGACCTGCGGCCACCGTTCCAATATGGATTAATTCCGTAGGTCGAGGGCCTACTGTACTGGAAAGTAGCTGGACAACCATTTTGCTGCTGATATGTGACAGTGTTTCATCTATAGATTGTGGAGAAATGTCGATTGAATATTTTAACTGCTAGGTCTAATAGTACTTGCGCCAACTTGTGACCATAATACATATTTGATTCAATCACTAAATGAACTGTGCTAAGTTTACTGAAAGCGAAGTGTCACAGCAAACAGTCAGTGGATTTTCACCATTTTGGAGTCCTTCTATTTCTAAGCCCTGAAGCTCACAACACTGTGACTGTATCAAGGTTATTTGTCCA